TTCATTTTTTCATTCCATTCATTCATTCATTCATTCATTCATTCATTCATTCATTCATTCATGTTTTAAGGCTGCTTCAGTCATGAAAGCAAGCCTATGCTGCTTTTGGTCTTGATATTTAGTTGTGAGTTATTGCTTGTAGTTATTAGTTATACCTTTTGAATATTTTAGTGATTACTATTTTAGTTATTAGATTTACATATCTCCTTTCCTCTAGGACCTTAGTACAGCATACATAGCATTTCCTGTTTTATTTTTTTATATCCACAGCAACAATCCTGTCAGGTACATCGATCTGCCAGAGAGAAACCGGCCCAGAGCCACCCCTATCAGCTTCCATGGTTAAGAGTGGAGATTGACTATATTTGAATTGGTGACAGAACTTTTCCAAACAAAGCAAAGTTTTCACTCCCTTGATTTGCCTCAAGAAAGTGTATTTGCAGTTTTCACCAAAATTTGATGGGAAAATATGACATGGAGGTTGGAAATTGGACCCCCCCCAAAAAAGGATTGCTTCCCCTAATAAAAAGCATGCATGGAAATCAGTGCTTACAACACTTTCAGTAGTGCCATCATAATGCTCCTTACAGTGCAGTCTTAATTGAATAGCATAGGTGTGAAACTGGAATCACATGGAAAAATCTGAGGTGGCTCCTAGAAAGTTTCTCAAGTAGCCCTCAAACTCTACAGTTCTGGAAGTGCCAGTCATTATCCAAAGTGTAATATGTGTGGCAGTACAAGGATGGAATCACCTGTATCATAATTATTACTATTATTGTTATTATTTCCATGCAATTTCTACCCTCCCACTCTCAAAGACTATGGATGGTAATAGCATCTCACAGCTATTCGAGAGCTCATTCTGCCATGAATACAAAAAGCTATTGTGGTAATACATTAAAAAAAGGTCAAGCTGCACATCTGCTTTAATACCTGTTACCTCTCTGTGAATTTAGGTTGTCTCTAAAGAAGCTGCCTTTTGCAGGGAGAGAACCGAAATGCAGAGAAGGCCGTGGGAATAAGCATGAGAAAACCCAAACAAGAACAACCTCTGGCTACGTTTGCCCACATAAACATTCCATTGTATTGTAAATTATTTCCCCATGTCCACTGCTGGGATTGACCATTTTTTACCCTATGTCCAAAACAGTGTATCACTTTCATTAGGAGGACAATGGTGGATTCCAAAGTGGATTCTGTCATTTCCTAGCCTTGAGGGCAAATAAGGTGTATTGTTATCTCAGTAATGTCAGATGTTGACTATTTGGCTTATATTGTAAAGGAAGGTGGATGTATAAAGTATGTTGGCTTGAAAGAAGTTGCAAACATTATTTGATCAAAAGCCCTTCTTTCCCCTATTTTAAGAACTGAAAGATCATCTTCCTGTTTCAGTGTAAGTTTATAATTCCTGAACGTTTTATTGTTCATGTAATTTAAAACCAAACTTAAATAAATGAACACATGGCAAAAGGCAGACCAGAACTTGCCGCACATACCAGTTGTGGTATGGAATATTGGACACAGTCTTCATGACATATTTTAGCTCCTTTTCAGGAGATGCAAAGTTCCCAAGCTATTTTGACTACCCAATGCATGGGTCAAAATTATTATGCCAATTTCTCAAGTAATATTGGTTTTTCACTACACAAGCTGAGGACTAGGAATTTCAACTTCTCTCTCTTGCTCCCAAAAAAAAAAAAAAAAAATTCAAAAACATTTTGGAAGTATTGTCTTCAATAGTTGCAAACAAATTAATCAATGAGGGTGAGGGTTCATTCTCCAAGCTTGTGGGTTGGTTTCCAAACATTTCATTACCAGGCTAAATAACAGCTTCAACAGAGTTTAAGGGATGTCAGTGTCAGTGTTCTTCTGTTTATAAGGGCTTCAGGTGTGGTTGTGTCAAGTGGGGGTCTTGTGATGGGTCAACTGTGAGTCATCAGTGAGTTTTGGGATGGGTCTTGTGATAAGGAGATTACATTAGGTCAGGGTCATTGGGAGGTGAACTGCTGGGGGGGGGGTTGCGTGGGTTGATTGACCCTGACCTGATGTAATCTCCTTATCACAAGACCCATTACATGACTCACTGATGACTCACAGCTGACCCACCACAAGACCCCCACTTGACACAACCACACCTGAAGCTCTTATAAACAGAAGAACTGACATCACCTCAACTCTGCTGAAGATGTTACCTAGTCTGGTAACAAAACATTCAAACCAACCCACACGCTCGGAGAACAAACCCTCCTCCTACACCTGAACTATGGATATTCACCACAATTGCAAAATTAATCAATCTTTGGATTCCCTTGGTGTTGCCAGATCAGCATTGATTGATTGATATTGTGCCACCAAGTCAGTGTCACTTCTAAATGGCTATATAGATAGATTTTATCTGGGAGGCTTTCCCCAACCTGGTCCTTCAGGTCCAACGTTCACCTATCACCACTGTAAAATTCATTTTGCTGTTGGTCATCCATTTACTACCCTTCCTTTCCAGGATTATAGATTTCTGAGGATTATAGACTTCTCTAGAGAGCTAGGTCTTTGTTTAATGTGTCCAAAAGATGATAAGTTGAGCCTGCTCATTTGTTCCTTAAGTGGGCTGATTTGTTTGACAATCCATTCCATTTTCTGCTTTTCTGGCTATCCATTATATTATTTTCAGGAATCTTCTCCAACACCAAAATTCAAAAATGTCAATACTCTTTCTGTCTAGCTTCTGCAAATACAATTCTCACTTCCATAGAATGCATTAGGGATAACCATTGTCTGCAAAATGTCTGATATTTATCAGTGTAGACACATCCCAGCATCTAAATATATTTTCCAAGACCTTCATACTGTACTTATTTGACCATGTCTGCAACATATTTCTAGACTGCTGTTTCCTTTATTGTTGATAGTTTATTTAAAAGGCAGAAACTATCTTCAGATTCAATAACCTCCTTACCAATTCTGAGGGTGGTTGCTGCATTTGTTGTTATTAGTTTGACTCTGGGAGTAATCTTACACCCATTTTTTTTTCCACAGTGTTTCTTGGCACTCACTAATATAGCTTATATTTGCAAATATAGATCTACATATCTATCACATATTGTATAAGCAAGGATAGCATATACAGCTTTGTCTATTGCCAACATAGAGTTAAGTCTGTTTCACCATGTTCTGCCCATACTGGGACTTTCTCTCCTGTGTATAGGTTACATGAAGAAACATGTCAGTGCAATGTCTTCACTGATATTTCTGTTTTTCTTCCACATGAAGAAAGCATCTCATTAATATCATTGAACCAACAGAAGATCTTTGGGTAATCATTGAAGCAAATAATAACCCTTTTGTACTCTTTGGCTTTTTCAATTATCAAATGTGCATGAGCAATAATGTCTGATGTGCCTTTGACTTATCTAAAGCCATGTTGAATATTTGGCATCTCCCACTCCATGCAGGTCTCTAATCTGCATTGGATGATCCTAAACATTGTTTTGCTAGTCTGTAAAATTGTGGATATTACATGATAGTTTGTACACTTTGTTAGGTCTCCTTTCATTGGTCTGGTATGTAGATTCTTCTAATCTATTGGTCACCATATTGTTTGGTGACTAAGCTTTGGTTAGAACCTTTAGAGATCCATATTCTGTTGCTTGCCATATTTCTGTAGATATTCAATCAATCCCTGTAGCTTTCTGACTTGGTAATGACCAGAGTTCTGATTCAACTTCACCTTGCACTAGAAGTTCTTGTAAATAAGAGACAGATTTTTTGGTATCTTGATATCTGTACTGTATATAATTTCAGTATCATCCCTTCATCTTTGTTTGATCTTCTTTGAGTCAATTACTATTTATCCATTGGCATCCTTTAGCAAATCAATTTGAAACTGGAACCTCCTTTTTTTGTTGGGAGGTCTTTTGGAAAACTTTCCTTATTTTTCTTTGTCTGCTTCCTTCTTTGATGACTTGGCAGATGTCATGGTAATATTGCTTCTTGTCTTTTCTAACAGCTCTGTGAAAATCTTTGTGAATTTCCTTCCTGAGATCTTTGTCTTTCTTGGCTTCAGCTTCTCTTCTTCATCTGCTTTGCTTTCTACTGTTTGTTGGTCACTGAATTCCTCTTTTTCATGTTTATTCTTTAAAAAATTAAGTTCATTCCACAGTTCCTTCCTTCAATCAACTTCCAAAAGCCAATTTAAATTTCATATGCAGATTCAGAACATAGTTCTAATTTTCAACGTAAATGATAGCAATATACCCAAAACATGCTGGGCTTTTTTGTGATACCTTAAACATAAAATATTTGTTAGGATCTTTGAATAAGCCTACTGAACAAGCATTTTGAATAACAAAGAAACACAGGGACCAACTTTCCATCCTTCCCTCTCACCTACCCCAATTACCATCCTTAGGTGCTTGTTTTGGTGAATAGGTTTGTGTATCAAGATTTGGAAAGCAGGTCTAGAAAATACACTATATATGTTATGTATGAAACAGAGGGCCGCTTTACAATAAGAGTATCTCATCTAGCAAAGCCAGATGTGGCTTTGACAGGTAGCAGCATTGTCATGTTGGAGTACAGAACTGGTTATATTGCACACAGCCTACGCTGTATGGCACACAGCATTTCCTGTGCTCCATTAAGTTGGTCTGCTTTCCCCTAGGGTGGTGAAAGAGGTTATTCTACATAATTCTGTGTAGATCAGAATCAATTGGCAATCTGGCCTTCAGCAATGGAATGGGGAAGTTGTGAGCAAAATTGAAAGACTACTCAGAGAGATAAATCATGACCACAACGAGACTATGAAAATGAATGGAAAGACAAGACAGTGGCAAGTCAATACCTCAGCATATTAATGACCTTTTAAACCTCTAAAAATAGAACTAGACCACACACTGGCAAACAACCAATGAACCACCAATCTTCCTTCTGTCCTTCTTGATAGATGTTACAGCTGAAACTATCATGTACAAAAAGAGGCTAGCTATGCTTTGTTGTCTTCCTTTTCAGGATTCTCTTGTTCTAGTCAGTTCTCCTTCATTCTAAAAAGTGAATCAACAGATCAGTTGGGATCCACAAAAGGCTTTTAAAACTCTTCTGTGCTATATGTATGTAAGTATGTATCTACACACACACATTTTGTGGGGGCGGGAATTCCATATTGCTATACCTGGTGGATTGTTCTCTTGTGCTTGTGGTTTTCCCCACATTTTTTTCTACTAGAACTTTGTAAGGAAGGATGGGCAGCAATATTATTTTTTGGAGAAAAATAAATTGCATCCCTTTTCCTGTCTGTGATTACAGGTAGTCTTCAACTTATGATCACCATATTGCTAAGTGAGACATTTGTTAAGTGACTTTTTTCCCATTTTACATTTTTTTTCTTGCCACAGTTGTTAAGTGAACCACTGCAGTTCTTAAGGTAGCAACTTCGTTGTTTAATGAATCTGGCCTCCCCATTGACTTTGCTTATCAGAAGGTTGAAAAAGTTGATCCCATGATCCCAGGACACGGCAACCGTCATAAATATGAGTCAGTTGCCAAGTGTCTGAATTTTGATCACGTGACATCGGGGATGCTGCAATGGTTGTAAGTGTAAAAAATGGTCATAAGCAGTGGTGGGATTCAAATAATTTAACAACTGGTTCTCTGCCCTAATGATTTTTTCCAACAACCAGTTCACCAAACTGCTCAGAAAGTTATTATTATTATAAGTTCAATTTATATACCGCCTTTCTCCGAAGACTCAGGCCGGTTGTCCCGAAGTGATGTGAACTGACTGAATCCCACCACTGGTCATAAGTCACTTTTTTCAATGCTGTTGTAACTTCAAGTGGTCATTAAATGAACTGTTGTAAATTGAAGACTACCTGTATAGCCCAGGTTTGCTTGCATCAAAAGCTGAAATCATACAGAAAGGCAAAATCTACTTTAAAAAAAAGACACTTTCATTTAAGTACATACTCCCCCTTCTTCACAGCCTTGCTGGGAAGCAGAATAAATTTATCTGTTATTTTATAAAAGTATGAGGCAAGTGACAAAGCAAAAGTTCTGCGCAGGAAACAACTGCTTCCCTTGCCTCCGTTTTGGGTGTTTATATAAACAACCCTACAACTGTTACATAAGGCAGTGGATTCTTCTCTTTATAGCATTCCACTACTGTCTGTATTCTGTGCCAGCCATAATAACACACTGTCACTTTCTTTTCTTTTGAAGCAGTTTATCTACTCGGAGCAGCATAAATAGAGAAGATAATAATTTATAGATTGTTTGAGATAATGCGTGTCAAGAAAATCCTAGAGGACCTACTCAGTAACAGTTACTATGGGATGTTTACATGAACAACATGCCCTAGTTTATAATCTGGGGAATGAGAACATTTTAGATGGAATAAGTGTTCTTGATTCTTTCTTTCAGAGAATATACTATCCCAGGATCCAAGAATGACCTTCCAGGCTTTTGAGTCCTGTTATCCTGCCGCTGAAAAAGGAGGAACCTTGTGATAATCAACTGTTTCTTCATTTAGAAGAGTCACATATTTCTCCCCCCCTACAAATTAATTGCTTTTACTGCATTATCAAATACAAATAATGTATTATAGAATGCAGATAGTAACTAAGTACAGTGGCATTGATACAATGGAAACTAGAAATTGCGAACGCTGTGATGATTAAGATAAATTAAACATTTAAAGATGATCAAAAGATATCAATGTGGAACATGCTTTCTAAAATATTAAGGAATATAAGGGTGCTTAAATTGTGCAATTAATGCTAAAGGCATTGATAAAAATTGCAAAGTGTATTAATTTTTATAATATAAAAAGTGTAGACATTTGAGTTTAATACTAACTACATAATAATTCATACTAAAATCTCAAATGTTTTATTATCTGTGGGGCAAGGCTAAGGGAGAGACGGGGAGAGGAGAGGCCTATCATAACTACTCATTAATTTTCAAGCTGTAAGTGTTGATTTATCAAGCCCGATCACATAGTTTTTTAGCAGAGCATGGGTATGCACTAGTTTATCAATATAGGAAAGAAAAAAGGAAGGGAGGGAGGGAGGAAAGGAAAGGAACTCCTTGGAAAAAATACATAGGTATTTAATTAATTTCTCCCTCTTATAAACCATAATGTAAATATTCTGGGTGGGATTAGTAGTAGAAAGCAATCTGTTAAATCTGATAGAGAAAAAGAGAGAGGTTGGGAGGGAGAGAGTAGAAGAAATAAATTAAGCTAACCAGGTAAATCTCCATCAATAGGTTATGCATACTTACTGGAGTTTAAGAGCCAGTAAGTTTATGCATAAGTTTATGTTAAGTAGGTCAGATTTCTACATACTGTCTTTCCCTGGGTGAAAATATTTACATCCTTGTGTGTGTTTGCACAAGAGCTTAGGTTTCTACAAAAAAATTGCAGTGGCATCAGTAGAATCTTTGAAAATAGTCAGTGTCTGTTTGGGATCTGCAGAATTATTATCAATAAAGGTCCATGGATATGAATTGGACTATCTACTTGCTAGGCTTGGTAATTCCAATTGGGCCATCCTAAGTGTTTACATTTATAACATAATGCATTGATATGAGAGTAAATAAACCTGATGGCCTTCAGCATCGTGCACATTTTACATATTGTGTAGATTACCCTTCTGATTATTTGCATGCCTGAAATTCATTGGAATGGAATACAACTTCAGGCTCTTGGTTGTGAATCTTTCTATATTTTTGCTGGTTCTCAGAATGACAGTTGTTTAGACTTTCACTCTTGTGGTATACAAATGTGCAGTCAGCTATAACCAAAGTAAAAATAGGGGGTTGGCATAATGTCTATGTAGGAGGCATTGTTTTGTTGCTTTAGAAAATGGTCTGCTTTTACCATAAAGATATAATCCCCTCACACAAACAGCCCAGGGGGAAATTAAAGGAGACAGTGACAAGCTGCTATTGTCTACAGCTCACAAAGGAGGCCTATTGTAGAACTTGTACAGCTGATTTCTGTGTTAAAGATAATAGCTTTAAAAGCTTTCTTAAGTCATATTGTTATGTAGGTGAAATAAAGCCTTTAAAACTATCTCTAAGAGTTTAAGATTAGGAAAGAATCAAGACTTTTTAACTGCTCTTGAAATCCAACCACTCTATTGATCAGATTATTCAGCTTCTGCCATTAAACGCTCCAAATGTAACAAAATTGTAAAATGAAATGCGGCAAATCATTTAAACATGGAAGAGATGATCCTTGTGGTTCCTTTTAACTCTGTAATTTTGAGATTCTACAGTTCAGCAATTGTACCAGCTGATTATAAAGTTGGTCTTGTGAATTGCACTATATTATATATTAGAAAGAACTAACAATAAAATAAAGTGTTAATAGATCAGTAATCTCTCATTATTCAAGATATTCATGTTTATCATATCCTAAATCTGATCCTACTTGATCTTTGTCCAAACATGCAAGGTGCCTACAACTGCCTTATTCATTCAAGTAGGCCCAGGTATGTTGGATTACAATTTCTATCACTCCCAGCCAGCATAATCCAGGTAAATTTTAAAAGAGCTCCTACTGTCATTGCCAATAAAACTCATGCAAGTTCAGATTAAAATAAATCTATAGCTACAGCAGTTACTTAGCACTTCCTAAGCACTGCTATAGTATTTCCTAATTAATAGCTCCAATTAGCTCTCTGTCAAGTTTACATTTGATAGCCATCAAATGTTTGCAGCAAGCATATTTCCATTTAACAAATGGTTTGTATAAATGTGTAAACATTTGGGCTTCTTTGGGCCAGTGGTGGGCATATTGGGTATTTGGAGAACACGCTATACATGTCCTCACAAAATGGCTGAAATGGGAAGCCTGCCTATATTTACAAGATGGCTGTTCCTTTGACTATGACTAATTTTAAACCACCTGCAAAACTAATGGTAATGCTCCATGCCATCCCTTTTAGTCCCCTACAACCTTCTCTATTTTTGTCTTTTATTGTAGAAAGGTGGGCATACTTCCAAAGGAAACACTAGACTGCAGCTAATCACCGCTCTTCTTTTCTAACAATGCTTGAAGTTTCTGTGCTGCCCAGAGGCAGTCTTGAAAGTAAAGATGATGCAAGAGGCCCATAATTTGCTTTGTGCCTGCTAGCTCTCAATTTTTTTAATTAAAATATTTTTAATAATTTAATTAAAAAAAATAATGCCAGATGCAATAGAAAGCATGTGGCCCCAATATCTGGGGATTTACTGGTGCTCACAAACCATTTTAGTTTGAAATTGTCCCCCTCAAACATTGTTTCATAGCATGATGTATGAATTAGTTTGCTTTTTGCCAAGACAACAACTTACATTACAGAAAGATAAAACATTGATCCATTTCTTATTGTTCAATCTGATTAGGATGGTTCCCTAGAATTTCACACGGTTTTTGCTCATCACCTGCCTCCTTCCTGTGATGCTGAACCCTTGCCTGGTTTTCCAGATCATATGGGGGAAGAAAATCAATATATATTGCAGGAATAGATTTGGTTCTTCCTGCATTCCTTGGGTTTTATGGGATGAATGATGATAGAATAGAATAGAATAGAATAGAATAGAATAGAATAACAGAGTTGAAAGGGACCTTGGAGGTCTTCTAGTCCAACCCCCTGGTTAGGCAGGAAACCCTACACCACTTCACACAAATGGTTATCCAACATCTTAAAAATTTCCAGTGTTGGAGCATTCACAACTTCTGCAGGCAAGTTGTTCCACTGATTAATTGTTCTAACTGTCAGGAAATTTCTCTTTAGTTCTAGGTTGCTTCTCTCCTTGATAAGTTTCCACCGATTGCTTTATGTCCGTGCCCTCAGGTGCTTTGGAGAATAGCTGGACTCCCTCTTCTTTGTGGCAGCTCCTGAGATATTGGAACACTGCTATCATGTCTCCCCTAGTCCTTCTTTTCATTAAACTAGACATACTCAGGTCCTGCAACCATTCTTCATATGTTTTAACCTCCAGTCCCCTAATCATCTTTGTTGCTCTTCTCTGCACTCTTTCTAGAGTCTCAACATCTTTTTTACATTGTGGCGACCAAAACTGGATGCAGTATTCCAAGTGTGGCCTTATCAAGGCATTATAAAGTAGTATTAACACTTCATGTGATCTTGATTCTATCACATCATTGCACAAATGATATCAATTATATACAGTGTATCTGATTTTGGGGTGCAAATACATAATGGTGGCATTTGCTCGATGATCTCATTGTACTGATGTACAAATTGTACATCAATTTGGAATCCATGAGATTTGCTGGAGATGCCCCTTATTAATATTACCAGGGGAAAATGAATTAGTAATTTCCACAATTCCTTGAAGTACATACTGTAGGTTAGTCTTTCCCAAGCTGGTATCCTACATCAATATTGGCACTTTCAAGATTGCTGCAGATGCCAGGAGATGTAACACCAATACTTCTTGGGTTGTTCTTCCACATTTCAATTTGTTGTAACATTTGGGAGATTTCACTTTTAACAACTTAAAAACATATGGAGTGTTGGGCTTTTATTTATTTTTTTTACAATAGCTCCTACTCAAATTTAAAAATCTCATGACTAAAATATAAGTGGTTGAGCAATATGAATGGCTTAAATCAAGCAAAACCAGAATAAACTCCAATTTGATTTTAGTTTTGAACAACAATAAACAACCATTTTACCCTGGATTCAAAAACAGCTGAAGAAGCGAATCAGATGGGAGAGTATTCATAGCTCTTTCAGCATCCTTTACCATTGTCCATACTGGCTAGGGTTAGTGGAAAGTATCATTCATTCCCCCCCATGGTTCATCCCTCCTCCTCTGATGCTGCAAGAAGAGTTCACTGATTTGTTTTCTAAAGAAACAGAACAAGCGTGCGTTTAAAGAGAGAAACACTTAAAGCAGAAAAGGATATACAGTGAATGGTGGGGCATACCAGCTAGCATAAGACTCCTGTGTGCTCATGAACACATCTGAAAAATGAATCTCTGATTTTGACTTTAGCCCAGGTAAATCCAAATGTGCTGATTTTTGCAGTTTGTAGATCTGTCTGGGCAGTGACTCAGAAAAAGATAATCTTCTGGATATCAAAAGCTTGCTGATTCACGACACCAGGGGTAGCATTTGGTTCATTAGGACTTATTGCTCATCTCAGCTGTTTGCTTCTACCCACTACAGGAACATATAATATATACCCAGGAGCAGCCATGCAAATACCTAAAAGCTACCTAAGGCTACATATCTTTTTCATCTCTGGCATGTGGAGACACAGCATCCTGAAATATTTAGGTGTTGGCTCCTTGTAGTCATGATGAAGAAATGTCTTCAGGCAAAAAGGAAGAACGCTTGCATCTAGCATTCCAGAAAGTGAAGGCATACGTTTTCACCCAAATCCATGGATTCAATGGGTTAGATCCCGACTCATTCATACTTAAAGCAGTCCCACTGAAATTATTGAAATTTAAGTTAGCCATAACTATGTTGTCTTGATATCTATACCAGCTTTGTCCAAATTTGGTGCCTTCTCCAATCATGACCTTCCTCCAGCTGCAGCTCCCAGCATTTCCAGCCAGCATAGGAATTATGAGAGTTGTAATGTCAACACACCTAAAAGGCATTTTATTTAATTATTTTAGGCCTTACTGGCTGCTGCAATCCAACCCTTGAGCAATGTACAATTCTCCAATATGTAATTGGGAT